TATGTATGTATATAAATGTGTATGTATGCACGTATGTATGTGTACAGAGTCTTCGTATTCGAAGAAGAAGAGGATAAAGAAAACACTGTTGGCGACACAGTTTAGCTAATTAGTAATTATATGTATGTGTGTGTGCGTGTTTTAGACAATTTCTGCCCAAGAAATATGTAAATTTTAAGCTGAAAGCAAAAATTCAAACAAACGGCGAAAATTAGTATAAATTGTCAGCAAAATAGTATTTATAACTATTCAAGCAAGAATACTATTAAATCAATTAAAAAGTAAATAAATGATTAAAAAAAAAAAAATTAGTAATTTTGTTTAATTGCTGCTGTTGAAAAACTCGTCGCTTTGATAAGCACTTGGGCAGCAGGAGGCATTGCGGACACAACCCTAACTCCTGCGGCACTAGTACTTAGGAAAGCAATATGTTTTTTGTTTTCTGTTTTTTTGTCAGAAATTCAAGGTAAGTACCACATACTTGTCACAATGGCTTGAAGCCTCTTTTGTGAGCGACCTCGTCGCCTTTAATCCTCCTGCAGCGCTTCAGCACTAATCCGCTTGCACTTGAAGTAAGTTCTTCGCTGGTAATCCTGCAGCAGTTGGAAAAAGCTCTTTAGCTTTTAACCTCCTTGTAAAGAGTGCGAGCTTACTTCTCTACGATTTTCGAGTTCATCAGTTTTAATTCACCTGCAGTAACAATGAGTTCCCCGCCCTTAATTCTGCCGCAATTATGGGATAGGAGTTTCGGCTTAGTTTACCTGAAAAATAGTGAAAAATCGAGCATTAAGGTTTTTACCTTGACACATAAAGCGCATGAGTTATTTATTTAAAAACATTTTGCATTTCACACGACTTCTTCGGCTTACGTTCTGCTAAAGATAGAGAAGGATTGCGAGAGAGAAGGAGAGAGAGAGATAGAGAGAGAGGGAGGGAGGGATTTAGTCCTCTTCAGTGTTATTCTTTCTGCTATAAGAGCGACATCTCGACATCTTACGTTGAGTCGCGTATTTTACGCGACCTCTTCAGTTTAAGTCCTGCTGAATAATGATAGAGAGAGAAAGAGAGATAAAGTGAGAGAGATATAAAGATAATACTGTGGGATGCACAGTTTTTTCCCACTGCAATTACAACGACTTCTTCACCATTTTTGAAGAGTGAGAGAGAGAGAGAGAGAGGTAGAGAGAGAGAGAGAGGGAGAGAGAGACCGACAGAATGGAATACAACTTTATCCTGCTAGTTTAGAGCTAGTTCTCCAGCTTAAGTTCCACTGCAGAAAGAGAGAGAGAGAGAAAGAATAGCAGACAGCTCTTCAGCTCTAGTTCCGTTTATTATTTCGAGCGACCTCTTCAGCTCAGAGATTTCCAGCAACTTCTTCAGCTTTAATCTTACTCCTATTCAACGACAAGTTAGCTACGGTTAAAGCTTCAATTTTACGTCCTTCGAGCTCCAATTCGTGGCTGGTCATCTCAAATTGCTACAACTCGAATCTGACTCACTTAAATCATCATTAAACGATGTCTTTAGCCTTTGATTATATATTTTACTGAGCTGCAAGTGATATAACAATTACATATCCATGTCTATATATATGCACACAGATATGGTACATATATGTATGTGTGTGAGTGTGTGTGTATTTTACATACCACATGGCAGCCCACATCAAACATTCGTGCGGCATTCTTCCCCATCCCCCAGGCCCCAGCTTCGTTTGCCTCCGTCACCTCTCACAAATGAATGCTGGAGACAGTGCGGCATATGCCTTCAGAATATTAATGTATTTTGAACTATGCACTTTATAATTTATATAGTCGAATGTTATATGTATATATAACCTATACGCAGCTGAGTCAGAAATCTACTTGGATATATCAAGTCGTGTTTGCAACCCCCAAAAAAAGAATGAAATATTGAAACAATTGTGGCATATAGATTGTCTGTGCTCACACGCTCGCTGTCTCTCTTTATCTCTATCTCTCTGGCTCGCTCTCTCACTCTTTGCCCATCTCTCTCTCTCTCTCTCTCTCTCTCTCTGTCTCTTGCTGTGTATCATTACAAGTCATATATGGCATATTGCTGTGGCTAGTAACCTCTTGCACATAATACATAAGTTTATTAAATTTAAATTGGCTTAATTGACCCTCATTCGTTTTCCGTTGCGCCGCTCAATGCGCTTCAACCCAGACAACAGCGACAACAACAACAAAAAGACAACGTTGATTCTGGATCTGTGTATATATACATACATATATATGTGTGTGTGTGTGTCGCTTGTTTGCCTCCATTGTGGAGCATTCAAAGTCAATTGAATTTAAACGAATGAAACTACACACAATGTGTAGCAGGAATCTTATTGTATATGTTGCTCTCGTTGTTGTTGTAGTTGTTTATTGTTATTGTTGCTGTCGTTGTTGGCTACCACTTGCCTCCATTTGATTGAGTTTGCTGCTGTTGTATCTGCGTCAAGTACTAAAGCTTGTCCAAAAATATGCAACAAATTGCCTGCTGTATACTGTGTGAGTGGAAGATGCAACAAACAATAACTACAACAAATTTAAATAACCAACTACATGAATGCAAATACTTTTCATTTTCATTCTCAAGTGAACAACATAGATTAACAATACGAATAAGTATCAATTGATAGCACTTCACATATGACTAACACAATTTCCTGTGCTGCTCTGCTTGCAGTACTCATGAAATGATTAAGAGCGAATGCTGTTGCTGAAATACCCTGTAAGTTTGCCTGAAGAAAGAATTTGTGCGCGTTGGTAGAGATTGCAGTTGCTGAAATTGTGAAGGATTTACTTAGACTGAACATTTATTGCGCTGTAATCGAAAACGAGTCAGTTTTAAATATTCTCAAAGTTCGAAATTGCATATAGATATCACGTTTTCAAAAAGTCACATGATATTGACATATAAAATGATATATTTTTTAAATTCGGCTTGAGTGATAATTGACATGTAAGTATGTTTTATAACCACAGCTGTTTACCAATATATATCAATAATATTTGTTGTGTTGTTGCTTATTGTAAGAATTTCGAAACAAGTTCTAAAGAATGGAAAGTATAGTCAACAAATAAAAATTCATATACCACATTCTAATTTGCTAAAACTTTTAAAAATGACTACTATATATCGATTAAAATCGACTGAATATAAAGATCTTACGATAGTTATGTGTTCATCTCTAGCTCTCTGATTGAAGTATATTTCAGAAAACCCTTGCTAGATTCAGAGTTATCAATATGAACTGTTCCAGCGTTAATCAATTCGTTTCCACACATTTTCAACAATCCCAGGGTGTACGCCGTGTTGATCATGCAAGTTAAACACTTGTATTTCATTTGCTATCTAACAAGATTTTCTACTTAGGCTCAACTTTCTATTCTGATTAGGTAAATGTTAATTTTTCGCATTCATTTAAGAGGCATAGACCTTTCCTTTACATCGAATTTATATTTAATTAGATGTAAACTCTCAGCACACACACACACACACAAACCCATATAGCCAGTTAGTTTTATGCTCAGTTGAGGCCATTTTCTGGTCGCTTTTCACTTCACATTACACAATACCGTTGTGCAGAACTTTTCCTTTGAGTGTCCCGCTGCAGTGCAGGCAAATCTTTCCAAATCTCTACCAACACACTGAGAGCTGAGCAGAGCTGAGCGAAGCCACCCGCTGCTGAGTGCCGCTGCCGTTTAACAACTGCACGGGGGTCTCAGCACAGCTTTGCTTCCAAGTTAAGTCGACGACAAAGCGACATCGACATCGCTGCCGATTGTGATTATCGCGCCTTTTGCGGGGTCTTAACCCCGCACGGAGAATTGACCAGTCGTAGGAGCAACAACTGCTCGTGCCTCTGTCTGTCATGTGTGTGTATATATATATACATTATATACAGCTATATATATATATATATATGTATACTTATATTGCATGTGCCAGCGCAAATGATGTGAAGCACAGTTTAATATTTGCTTTCAATGTAATATATTTAATATACTCTGGCTGGGCACGATCCATGCTCGAAATCGGCTGTGAGTCTTGTAACGCGCGACCGAGAGAACATTGTCGCTCGAGTGCGATTCTTCAACTGATTTGTGCAGCGATCGCTCGGACAGTCATTGGATTTTTGAAAATAACCATCAATTTATTACCGAGCCGCGATCTTC